GAGCTTTGAGGGCCGGACGGCCAGCACCCCGTGGACCGGAGCCTGTTGGAGCTGAAGATGGTGCAGGTGGTGTTCCGACACGGGGCGCGGAGCCCGCTCAAGCCGCTCCCGGTGGAGGAGCAGGTAAGCGGTGCGCCCGGCGGGGGCCCTACGGAGGCGGGCCAGGCGCCGTCTGGGGAACACACACCTTTGGAATTTTATCCTCTCGGAGCCGGGTTCGGGCTTGGTCCGGACGAAGGGAAGACAGCAGGTGCCAGGTCACCCCCTGGCCCGCCACCGCTGCACCCCTGGGGCTCCCCGGGCTGCGGCTGTGCAACTTCCCGTGCGCCCCTGACGGCTGTGCCCACGCGCTGCTTCTGGTGCCTATAAATCGCCTAGGGATTCATCTTGTTCAAATGCAGATTCTGATCCAGCAGGGGAGGCTGGGGCCTGAGATCCTGCATTTCTAACAAATATTTGTGTGACCTCAAGTACAAGGGTGTAGTGCATTTCCGTGTGACCGTTTTTTTTTGAAAGTTGTCAAAGAGTTGCAGTGATTTGTGACAGGAACCAGCCTAGCCGCGATCAGAGTCGGGAACAGAAGTCACTGATTTGGGGACAGCTTGCTCAGGGTTTGCAGGAGACCGTTTGAGATTTCCCTGACGACTTTTTGGTAACAAGTGCAGTATCTTGGGGTTCTTTTCTAGTTGGGGTTTCTGCGGGTAAACCTATTGGGGAGGGGATTTGAGGTAGGAAAAAAGTTAAAAATTAGCGACTCTATGCCCTAACTGGTTTGGCTCAATGGATAGAGTGTCGGCCTTCGGACTGAAAGGTCCCAGGTTCGATTCCAGTCAAGGGCATGTACCTTGGTTGCGGGCACATCCCCAGTAGGGAGTGTGCAGGAGGCAGCTGGTCGATGTTTCTCTCTCATCGATGTTTCTAACTCTCTATCCCTCTCCCTTCCTCTCTGTAAAAAGCAATAAAATATATTTAAAAAAAAATTAGCGACTCTTGTGGTTCTAAGGTCTTAAAATATACCTGGTCAGGAAAACTATGATTAAAGCACAAATACTTAGCTTTTTAAATAACCACCTTTTCTGGAATGATTTCTTGGGGCTGGATGTGTGGAGAGAGCCAGCGAAGGTCTCTGACCTCTCATGGCAGGAGGACCTGTGACCAAAGGACTGGCTTTCAGTGCAAGTGACTATGCAACCTGAACTCCTCAGGCGCCGGCTCTCTCTCTCACCTGTGGAGGCTTGTGCACTGTCAGTCCTCCAGGTCAGTGGATGTCCCAGCCTGGTGACCGGCTCTTCAGAGTCGCTTTCCAGAAACCCTTCGGGCTGTGTCCTCACATTGTGCACGGAAAACCAGTTCTAAAGCTGGCCACCGAGGACGTCCAACCTTTACAGCACCTCCCACATTAGTAAATCTTGGGTGGCACTTCCTTCTCCTGCCGGGTTTCTAGTTAGCCTTTCACTATGGCTGTCCCCTTTCTGGAGCTGGAATTTCTTTTCTTACCCCCCTCCATTCCTTCCTCCCCTCCTTCCTCTCTCCTTTTCTTTCTTTTTCAATCCCTTCCTTTGCCTTTGTATATTAGGTCACTACATGTTCCTTATGATTTTGCACATAGCCCTTCTCTTTGCACTCTCCCTTATTCATTTATTCTTGGCACAGAAAAACTGGAAAATAACATATAGGAATAGAGGACTCGTATTAAAGACAAAGTTATGAGTAGTAGCAGAGAACAAAATGTGAATGTCTAGGCCTGGACTTGTGTACAGTAATGTACTCCCTGGAGAACCTAAAATTTTTTAGTTTTTTTTTAAGGGTTTCTCCTGAGCCAGGGTGGGTGTGATGGGTATCTTTTGCCTTTATGTTGCAGTTGTAGCTCAGGAAGAATGCCAGCTTCATCCGTCTTCTGTCTGTATAGCCACGGAATAATGGAACATCCGAGTCCCTGGCCTCACTTTTCAGTTAGGAAACGCAATTACCTCTCCTACCTGCTCACATTCTCCAGACTTTAGGCAGATGCACTAAAGATCGTGGGTTATCTCGTATGAAGTCTTGTGCACACAAGTGGGGGGTGGAACTAACTATCTGAGCTACGAGCTAGTGTCATTGGCCTGCTAGCACTTGTTTTTGGAGCTCTTCTCTCAGGTTTTCTTTTCAAGATTCAGATTATTAGAAGTTGTTACTGGGATTTTCTAATCTTCCTGGTTCTACTATTAATTATAGATAAAGGGACTACCTGGCAACAGTTCTAAAACTAAAATTGCCTTTGGTAGATGTTTCCAGACTTCTGACTGGTTTGTACATAAATATGTGACCAGTCACTTCAGTTATCTCAGAAATCCTCAGAAAGTGGCATTGTGTAAAACTAGATGTTTTATTGAGTTGTTTTCTTGTGGCTTGAATGGCTGTGACTTAACTTGTCTTCCTTTAGCTCTGCTCTGGAACTCTGGAAATAAAACTCTGGAACTTGATTGGCCTTTTTTTTTTTCCTGATGATTAGATTAGATCCAAATACATATTCAAAAGATAAATTTGTCCCTGCTTTCAGGTTTCCCTCAGCTCCCCTCCAGATGGTGGCAAAGTGGCCTCCAATTCAGGCAGGTTCCTCAGGTTTTGTAAAATAAAATTCAACCTATCTCAGCTCCACTGTTGATTGAGGCATTTGGTTCTATATTTACTTGGTAATGTAAATGAGCTGGGAAGCATAATTTAGCCTTATTGTTGCTTAATACCTATCTACAGCTCACTAAGCGAAGGGTTTTCAGGAAGCATTGCATGAAGGATGTGCTGGTCAGTTTATTCATTCCTCTGGAGCAGTGGTTCTTAACCTGGGACACATTGGACTCAATTGGGAGCTTTACAAAATACTGATGCCTGGGTTCTCTCCCAAAGATTCGGATTTAATTGGCCTAGAGCAGTGGTCGCCAACTGGTGGTCCGCGGACCAGTGGTGGTCCGTGAGGTCCGAAAGGTTGGCTACCGCTGGCCTAGAGCACCCAGGCATGGCATAAGCTTCTCTGGTGAAGCTTTAGAAGGTCTGGACTAAACATTAAAAAAGTTGAGGATCCGACCCTAGGAGATCTGGCTGTGATGAGCTCAGGTGGGGTTCAGACATTAGTGCGGTCGCCAATCCGTGGTCCGCAGACCAGTGGTGGTCCGTGAGGTCTGAAAGGTTGGTGACCGCTGGCCTAGAGCACCCAGGCATGGCATAAGCTTCTCTGGTGAAGCTTTAGAAGGTCTGGACTAAACATTAAAAAAGTTGAGGATCCGACCCTAGGAGATCTGGCTGTGATGAGCTCAGGTGGGGTTCAGACATTAGTAACTTATTAAAAATTTCCCAGTGACGCCAGTATGTGTGGTCAAGGCTTAAGACCATTGCTCTATTCTAAAAAGCTACACCTGGAAGGTTTTTGTTTAGTTTTATGTAGATTTTTCTTTTACTTGGAATGTAGCATATTGATGCCAGAATAGTATTGTCTTCATAGGACTATGCTTTGGTGAGATGCTCTCTCTCTCTGTTGAGGAAACAATGAGAAACTGTCCCTCCGACCCTAGGAGATCTGGCTGTGATTAGCTCAGGGGGGATTCAGACATTGGTAACTTATTAAAAATTTCCCAGTGACGCCAGTGTGTGGTCAAGGCTTAAGACCATTGCTCTATTCTAAAAAGCTACACCTGGAAGGTTTTGGTTTAGTTTTATGTAGTTTTTTCTTTTACTTGGAATGTAGCATATCGATGCCAGGATAGTCTTGTCTTCATAGGAATATGCTTTGGTGAGATGCTCTCTCTCTCTCTGTTGAGGAAACAATGAGAAACTGTCCCACAGAACTCACTGCTGCTATGACTACTGAAAAGATGTCTGTTATGTTACTCTGCCCTCTTTATGGGGACCCTTGGGAGGAATGTATGTTAGCATTAGAAATGGTGTTGGCTTGCTTTTATCTCGAAGCTTGTCTAGCTGATCAAGTTTCTCCTTTTACCAAAAAGCCAGAAAGCTTAGTGTTGAATCGTGGCCCACCTACAACATGTATGTGGATCTTCGTGGTGTGCATTTTTGAGTAACTTTATCACTGCACCCACTTCTTTTTGTTCCTATGCTGTTAGCTTTTGTCTTTCTTGCTTACTTTGAATTGGTTGTCTAAGGTTTTGCTATTAGTTAGTTCTTGAAAATGGGGTGTAAATAAGTAAAATTATAAAGTTAGTCTTTGCCACTAACATAGGAACAAGAATGAGAGTGTATATGTGGGGTGGACATTATGTATGGAACTGATGTGCTGTTCAATCTTGAAAATCTGAACACGTGTACTCTAGACTTGGCATGACCTAGATTTTCAGGAACCATTCCCGGGAAACACCAAAGATCCTCTTTTGGAAACTGTGCCTAACGGGGGGAGATTTCTCAGGCTGACGAGGCCCTGTGGGCTTGGTGTCAGGACCTGCGCTAGACACTGGGCTTACAAGGATGGATAATTCAGTCTGGGCTGTAAAAGTTACAATGTGGTGAAGGAGAAAGACAAACAGATTCCAGTTATGGGACTATGCAGGGAGCACTGGGAACACAACAGAGGTATCTCAATCTTAAAATGCCCCAAACTGAACTCGGCTTGTCAGCTGTTCTTCTGTCTTGATCTTGGTTTTAGTCAAGAAGTACCTCCATTACCCTTGTCACCTTAGACACCCAGGCTCAAAATCAAAGTAATTTTTATTTATTCTTCCTTGTTTACCCACCAACATAACCCCCAAATAAACCTTTTAACTACTCACTTGCCAAGTTTGACTCACATGTCCTGCACCAACTCCTTCTATTCCTGCTGCCGTGGATGTGGCCTTAAGCTCCATCTATGGTGTTGCAGACATCTTGAAGCTGGCTTTTCCGCATCCAGTCTCCCCATTTCAGTGTGATCTATACATCCGGCTTCCAAACTATTTTAGGGAGCCTGTGGGCGAGGGGGATGCTGAGTGGCTGTGGCTCTGGGTTCCCACTCCTGCTTCAACTAGGGAAATTCCAGTGTTTGCCTTTACATATACATAAAGTTAAACTCTATTTGGCATTTACTCTAAGAAGTTTGAAAACCGCTCCCAGGTTGAGGCAAATCAAACTACTTCTTTCCTATATACATTCTTCACCATTGCTCAAGCTTTCTATGTTCAGAGTGGGGCAAAGTAGGTTTACAGTTGTGAGTACATGAAATACAGAGTTTATCCTAGCATTATTATTTATTAGTTATTGTATTATTTTCCATACTAGAGGCTCAGTGCACGAAAATTCGTGCAAAAGTAGGCCTGCCTTCCCCCAGCTGCTGGCACTGGCTTCCCTCCTCCAGCCACCAGCAGGCACCCGGGACCCGGGACCCGGGCTGGCTTCCCTCTGGCTGCCCACAGGCACCCGGAACCCGGGCTGGCTTCTCTCTGGCCCTGGCTTCATCAGAAGGATGTCCGGAATGACATCCCGTATAATTAGCATATTACCCTTTTATTGTTATAGATGAACAGCTGTAAACCTACTTTCCCCCCCAACCTGTATTCTTGAATTCTCAATACCATTCTCTCCTCTTACCCACTTTGTACTCTCAAGTCCAGATCTTTGCTTGTCTAAATCCTATTCATTTCAGATGCCATTCTTTCCATGAAACTTTTCCAGAATCCCCAGCCCAGAAGAGCAGGCCTGTATGTGGATCTTCGTGGTGTGCATTTTTGAGTAACTTTATCACTGCACCCACTTCTTTTTGTTCCTATGCTGTTAGCTTTTGTCTTTCTTGCTTACTTTGAATTGGTTGTCTAAGATTTTGCTATAAGTTAGTTCTTGAAAATGGGGTGTAAATAATTAAGTAAAATTATACAGTTAGTCTTTGCCACTAACACAGGAATAAGAATGAGGGTGTATATGTGGGGTGGACATTGTGTATGGAACTGATGTGCTGTTCATTCTTGAAAATCTGAACACGTGTACTCTAGACTTGGCATGACCTAGATTTTCAGGAACCATTCCCGGGAAACACCAAAGATCCTCTTTTGGAAACTGTGCCTAACGGGGGGAGATTTCTCAGGCTGACGAGGCCCTGTGGGCTTGGTGTCAGGACCTGCGCTAGACACTGGGCTTACAAGGATGGATAATTCAGTCTGGGCTGTAAAAGTTACAATGTGGTGAAGGAGAAAGACAAACAGATTCCAGTTATGGGACTATGCAGGGAGCACTGGGAACACAACAGAGGTATCTCAATCTTAAAATGCCCCAAACTGAACTCGGCTTGTCAGCTGTTCTTCTGTCTTGATCTTGGTTTTAGTCAAGAAGTACCTCCATTACCCTTGTCACCTTAGACACCCAGGCTCAAAATCAAAGTAATTTTTATTTATTCTTCCTTGTTTACCCACCAACATAACCCCCAAATAAACCTTTTAACTACTCACTTGCCAAGTTTGACTCACATGTCCTGCACCAACTCCTTCTATTCCTGCTGCCGTGGATGTGGCCTTAAGCTCCATCTATGGTGTTGCAGACATCTTGAAGCTGGCTTTTCCGCATCCAGTCTCCCCATTTCAGTGTGATCTATACATCCGGCTTCCAAACTATTTTAGGGAGCCTGTGGGTGAGGGGGATGCTCCTCCAGCCACCAGCAGGCACCCGGGACCCGGGACCCGGGCTGGCTTCCCTCTGGCTGCCCACAGGCACCCGGAACCCGGGCTGGCTTCTCTCTGGCCCTGGCTTCATCAGAAGGATGTCCGGAATGACATCCCGTATAATTAGCATATTACCCTTTTATTGTTATAGATGAACAGCCTGTAAACCTACTGTCCCCCCAACCTGTATTCTTGAATTCTCAATACCATTCTCTCCTCTTACCCACTTTGTACTCTCAAGTCCAGATCTTTGCTTGTCTAAATCCTATTCATTTCAGATGCCATTCTTTCCATGAAACTTTTCCAGAATCCCCAGCCCAGAAGAGCAGGCCTGCCTTGCCTTTGAACTACTGTGGCCTTCCTTTGGTTTCTGGTAGCACATGATTTCTATTTTAGTGCTGCTATCACTTACATTCATGGCTTGCTGTCTCTGCTAACCTGAAAATGCCAAAAGGCAGTCATGTTATCTCAATCTTGGTATCTTCCACAGGAGCCGGAGGATTGCTGGAGCTATCCATTGTACCTATTGGGTGCCAGGCCCTTTGTTGGGCACCTGAAATGCAGAGGTTGTAGATGACCCAGTCTCTGGTCTTAGGAAGCTAAATCTACTGAGCAGGACAGTCTGGTAAAGGAGCTCTTCTCATACAGTTGGTAGAAGCCACCAAAAAAAGCCACTGAGGCCTCTGTGGGCGCCAGGGGCCATGGTCATAGCTTCTGGGAATGTTTACGCTGTCTTCTGGAATGAGCAGAAGTCTTTCCAGATGAAAGAGAAAAGAAATTCTAGGTAGAAGAAACATGAGGCTGAAAGGCCAACAGGTGTGAGAATGGTGCCATAGGAAACAAGGTGTGTGGCTTGAGAAGCACTGTGTAGGTCGGGGGGAAGAGAGAGGGGTAGGGGCCGTCACGCCCTGTGAGCCCTCGACAGGTTTTATGCAGGAAAGTGATAACATCAGAACTTGGGTGCAATCAAAGAAGGAGCAGTGATTAAAGATAGTAGGAAGAAGGTCTCCGCTCTGAACACCCCACCTTCTGATGTCGGTTGCTGCAGCACCAGCAGGGGAAGAGGCTGGTGTTGGAGAGGAGGTGCAGGTGGGACTGAGGCCATGCCTTCTGGAAGAATGGAGAGCTTCCCTGTACGAAGAGAACCTGGGACTCCCAGTGGCACTCTCCTGGGATATTTCTGGGAGGGGGGTCCAGATAAGTATAATCATCTATAGTAATAAAAGCGTAATATGCTAATTAGACCGGATGTCCTTCTGGACGACCTTCCGGACGAAGCCGGGCTGCAAGGGAAGCCCGGGTCCTGGGTGCTAGAGGGAAGCCTGTGCCGGCAGCCGGGGGAAGGAAGGCCTACTCTTGCATGAATTTCGTGCATTGGGCCTCTAGTATGGGACATAATAGGTTTTCAAATGTTAGTTTTAAAATAAAACAAAGTAGTGGGAAATTGAGGTAAATATTGTTCTTTTGATTGGAAGTGCTGCAGTAGTTCGGGTAAGACCATCACTGGAAGCCGGAGTAGTCACTGATGGGAATAAGACTTGAGTTATCACTGAACCTTGAGAGAAGTTGGATAGGCAGTGGGGACAGGAGTTCCTCTGAGCAAGTAGGGAAGCCAGCTGAGAAGAGACGCAGGGGAGCAGTGGGCATGGTCTGGCTGGGAGGGGAGGAGAGAGGCGGAGGCAGTACAGCTGGGGACGGGGCTGGACCAGGGCGCAGAAGTCCTAGAAGGCCAGGCGCTTCTCTGTGAAACATTAGGAGAAGCTACTGGTGTGATAAAGGTGGTCAGCAGGCGGTTATGGAAGGATGGGTTGCAGGGTGCGGGGGAGGAATCGCGTAGGCTTGTGCCTTGGGGTGAGGTTTGTACTCTAACAGTGAGATGGAAGAAGGACATTGGAGTGACCTTCTAGCTAGCGATCAACAGGCATGTTGGGTCAGTGAGGAGAGTCAGAGATTTGAGTTTGGGGCCATGGTCATAGCTGGGCATGGTCATAGCATGTGATGTTCTGGAAACCATCACAGTACCGTTGGAGCGGGAGCCAGATTGCAAGCAGTGAAGGAAGATGGCGAAGGAGTGGAGGTTTCGTAAGAGAGCAGCGTCTTGTTTGAGAAATCGGATGAAAGGAAGGGAAATATGGGGTGATTACAGGGACATTAAGTAGAGTCCTTAAGGGAGGGCCATAGACACCTGCAGGCTGATTCCTTACCAATTCTTACAGGTATATGGTCCCTGAGATTATATTCATTCATTCATTCATTCATTCATTCACCAAGTGTTTGTGTGTAGGGCATTCTGGCCCCTTCTCGCTTTACTTCAGTCGGGACTTAGTGCCAGGGCAGCCTCTTACCAGTGAAGACTAGTGTGGCAATGACGGGCGCGGACTAAGGACACCTGGAGTAACCCCGGCCTGCTCTTCCTTTAATTGGAGCGAGAGTCAGCGTTTCTTCCCTTCTCTCCCACGGGAAAGCTGCAGGCCTAGTGTCAGTGTGATTCCAGCTGAGTGTTCCAAGCGCTGCGGGATGTTCATGCTGTAAGTTCCAAGAACCTTCTGAACAACGGCTCTTTTCGGTGTGTGTTTCTGTGTGTGTGTGATTACAACAGGCAGAGTGGAATCCCCAGCTACTGGAAGTCCCACCGCAAACTCGGTTTGATTACACCGTCACCAATCTGGCTGGTGGCCCGAAACCACCTTCTCCATTTGACTCTCAGTACCGGGGGACCGTCCTGAAGGTGAGCAACGCCGCCTGCTCCGGAAGCCCACTGCAAGCTCGGATGGTCTCCCGGGGCTGGGCGCAGACCGAAAGGTGCTCTCCTCCTTCTCCCGGTTTCTCCCCGCCTCAGGGGGGCATGTTTGCTGGGCAGCTGACCAGTGTGGGCATGCGGCAGATGTTTGCCCTGGGCGAGAGGCTGAGGAAGAACTACGTGGAGGACATCCCCTTCCTCTCGCCAACCTTCAACCCACGTGAGATCTTGTGAGTCACTTGGAAAACGGAGGTCTCGCGAGTGTAAGGTCTGGAGCAGGAGGAAGCCGGTCCTGACGCCCCTGGTTCCCATCTGACCCGAGGTGGTTCGGGCAGTTTCCCTCATAAAACAGAATCCTGTGGAAGGTGGCCATTGGCGGTCACACCCACTGGCTTTGGGGTGCCTTGGGCAGCCATCCCACAGAGAGAAGAGTTCTTCTAGCCCGTAGCTCTGTAGAACTAGGTAGCGTGTAAGTAATTTAATCTTCTCTTTTTGAGTGCCACTACCTTTTTGTTTTTTCCAGCGTTCGTTCCACTAACATGCATCGGAACCTGGAGTCGACGCGGTGCTTGCTGGCTGGCCTTTTCCAGTGTCAGAAAGAAGGTTCGGATTAGAGTCTAAACGTCTTTTTCTTCTTCATCCCAAAGCCCCCCCCCCCCCCCTGGTGCCTGCTCCCCTGGCCTCCCCTGCACGCGTGGCTTCTTCCGTGGCGTACCTGCTCCAGTGGCCCTTCTAGAATGGCTCCCGCCCGGCCCGCCCACCTCCATGGCTGCAGAGTGAGCCAGCTGCTCTGATGGGGCTCTGCCGCCTGACTCCTCCTCACCTTCTGCACCAGCTGAGGAGGCAGTCCGGCAGGTCCTGTGAGCCGTGTGGGGCTTTTTGCTTAGGGGAGACCCTGCTGAAGGGAAGGAGGGGCCCTGGCTGGGACCGACGCCTGTGCCGCTCTGGCCCGGTGGTCAGCCATGGCGTGACCCAGGGAGTAGCACCAGCACTCGCTCGCCTTTCCTGGTGAGGAAGTCGACTGAGTTTGGGTGTTGACACATTCAGCCACTGAGTGATCGCAGCGAGCGGTTCCCAGCCCTTTCCCCACCGAGGCCGCATCTATCGTTTCCCTCAGGGCTCCATGTACTGAGGACTCTGCCTATCAAACGAAGCTGCATTTCGTCACATACAGTTGATTCAAATGTACAATTCATGGCTGGTGTGGGTTTCAGCACATCATGACCTCACTCATATTAAAATACGACAATGGTGCCGTAAGCCAAAGGTGCTGGTTCTTTTGTGCAGCTTCTTTAGCGGTATCTCAAGTAGATGTAACATGTCCTTCAGGCTTTTAAAAATATAGATAAAACGGTGGAAACCTCCAGGCCTGAGGAGGCTGGCCTTGCTCCCAGCCGGGTTGGTGGTGCTGCTGCTTCTGGCTGAGGTTGGCTGACAGCCACAAACAGCATGTGTCTGAGGAACACACAGCGGACAGGATGGGCTGCCCTTGCTTCCGGGAGCCCCCGAGCTTAGGAACAACCCACAGAGCCTGGCCTTCCGACAGCTCTTCACTCGCTCCGCTTCTGAAAGGCAGCGTCCTCTTCTCATAGACAGAAGTATGGCTGCAGTGGGAAAGCTGTTTCTTGGTGGCAGGCTGGTCTGCAGACAGGCCCCATGGAGGCTGCCCCGCTCTCAGCAAGGAAGGACTGTGTCCTCAGCCTCTGGTGTGGCTGCTGGGCAGCACCTCCCTGCTGCGACCCAGCTACTGTGGGACTCCCATGGGACTCTGTCACAGCCACGCCGTACCTCTGTCATACCTTGACCATATCAAGGGAGCTGAATAGACCAGAGAACCCCGCAAGGTGTTACGATGGATAGAAGTGGTGCAACTCCAGGATGTTGTTTCAGGAGTAAACGCTGAGAGAAACCCCAGAGGGTTGTGTGTGGGCAGGGCATCAGGCTGAGGGAGACGCCGGAGGTTGCTGGTCTGTCCATGTGGTCGGCCATTCAGTCAACGTATATTTGAGTGCCAACCCAGATGTGCCTCATTTATCATAAATTGGAGGTCCAATTTCCAGACCCCAATACCAGATACCAGATAAAAATTATCATGTTATATTAAAGGTTTAAATTACAGTTATTATTCTAACATTTAAAGGACTTATGTGCACTTTGCAAACATTACTCTAAGAGCTTGGCATTTATGAACTCGCTTAATTCTTAGAATCACCCTGTGAGGTAGGTACCATTGTCATCAATTCACAGATGAGAGAACTAAGGCCCAGAGAGGCGCCGTGACTTTCTCAGGGACACAACGCTGGTGGATGGCGGAGCAGGATTCAGACCCTGGCGGGTGGTTGCAGAGCCCACACTCCTCACCTTCATGCTCTAAGACCAGTGCCTCTGGAGAGCCTCGGGCCGTTTGACCAGCGAAGTGTGTCTGAATCGACATTCCAGTCCAGTTAGCACAGCCTGCCTTTCAAGTCCTGGGGTCTGACGATCACTAATTTGGGAGTAATAGTTCTTTGGGGCCTAGACTCACCTAATCACTCCACAGATTGACCTCAGCCAATTCCAAAGAGCTGCTGGTGGGAGCTTTGACCATCAGAGGTCAGGCTTGAGCTCTGCAGACCGGGCAGCTGCCACAGGCCCCGGCCAGGTCTGGCGCAGAGCAGAGCGTGCGGAGGTGTTAGAGTCTTCTCTGAGCATCGGTGGGAGGGAACACAGCCTGTATGTGGCCCAGTAAGACGGGTTGTGCCAGACCGAACAAGGCTGTTGCCTTCTCCATGGTCAGACCATAGGGGCGCTCCTGTGGGCAAGGCTGGGGCCTGTGAAGGCTCTCACTGTCCTTCGGGAGTGACCTCAGTGGCCTGCCTGCTGGAGCGGCTCTGTCTGTGTAGACAGAGAAGAAGGGGAGGAGAAGCCGGGAGGAGCACGCTGAAGCCTCTTCCTGCCTGTGCCCCCCTTCCTCCAGGACCCGTCGTCATCCACACTGATGAGGCGAGCTCTGAAGTCCTGTACCCCAACTACCAGAGCTGCTGGAGCCTGCGGGAGAGAACCAGGTAGCTGCCCGCGCCTGCTTACCCTGGGGGCCGCTTACACGGGGCCGACAGCCTTTCCTGCGTTTCCTGCAGGACTCCACAGGACTGAGGGCCTGCAGGCTTACTGTGCTGGTGGAAGAGGGTGGGGCTTACACGCAGGTGCGATGCTGCTGCCCAGAAAGTGAAGATGCACTTGCCCACGTGGTAGACGCATAGTGAAGGGGCAGGCAGCCTGGAAAAGCCACGTGCTGGGCTAGAGATGGTACATCGGCTATGGGTGGGGCTTCGCTATCTCCATAGCATTATTCTCTCAGTAATGGAGCTCTCAGATGGGGCAGGTGAAGAAACTAACAGGTTAATAAAAAATGATCGAGCCAGTCATCAAACTGCAAATCCAGGTGGGCAGGCAGAAGACACAGACTTCCTTCTCTTATCAGCGTGCCACCCTGTGGGGTAGGTTGGTTTGGGCTGATGGCACTTCTCAGTGTTTAGGAATTGCTGGGCTGTCCTAAGAGGATAAAGTATGTGTTTCACAGGAGAAAAGAACGCTGTTTTCAGGCAGACCGGGGCTATGCTTGCATTGTTTTGGGTATAATAAAAGAAAATGCTAGAGTGGGATTTGGAAAATCCAGGCTTTTATTCTAGCCCTGGTGCTTGCTAACTTTCAGAAGTCATTTTTGACCTCATAGAGCCTTAGCTTGCTCATCTGTAACATGGGGATAATGACAGCTAACCCCTATGAGTGGTTGAGGATTGAATGAGGTTCCAGTGATGGATTGGATATGCTTTGTAAACTGTTAGTCACTGTACAGTGTAAGGGGACACTTGTTATGTTTTGGCAGAGGCCGGAGGCAGGCTGCCTCTCTGCAGCCAGGAATCTCGGAGGATTTGGAAAAGGTGAAGGAGGGCATGGGCATTGCCGATGGTGATGGAGTGGACTTCTTCATGCTCTTTGACAACATGGCTGCTGAGCAGGTGGGATGCCTGTCCTTGGGCCCTGCGGGTGGGGGAGTCTGGCGTGGGCACCGATGGCCTGGCCCTTGCGTGGGAACTGGGTGGAGGGGAGCGGGTGGAGGCCTCTGGTTTGCCGGCAGCTGTGAGGGCAGGGGGACCATCAAGGGGACTTATTCAGGAGCATGGACGTTTAACTAGATCAGTTTCCGGAAGCAGGTTCCCCAGAATACCCGTGATGTGCGTGCGCTGTGATGCTCAGGGCGGGGTGGGTGGTGGGAAGGAAGGATCCTTGTCTATACATTTTGGCGTCCCTGTATATCGGACCTGTTTTTGAAGAGTGTGTATGCACATCAGCATATTAAAGACTCTGGGCAGCCTGCAGTGAGGAAAGCTGGTTCATCTTGAAGTCTGTTTCCCCCGACTTCCTGAGCCATAGAATTTCTTGTCTAATAAACACTGAACACAGCCCACTGGTAAGTGCTTCTCAGATTCAGACGTTAGGCCCCCTGGCCGTGTAGCCCGATCTTCCTTCTCTGGTGAAGATGACGGTGCCCTGGAGCCAGAAATACACCTGGCACTTGGGTGGGAGATGGGTGCGAGGTTATAAGACAAGCGTTTGTTAAGTTTTTATATGCCATTCTCTCTGGAAATCATTTTGGGGAAAATGAGGCCATGAATTACTTGCCTTGTATTTTATTCACCATTTTTTTTCTTTTACAGTTAAAAAAAAAAGCGTTTGTTAAGTTTTTATATGCCATTCTCTCTGGAAATCATTTTGGGGAAAATGAGGCCATGAATTACTTGCCTTGTATTTTATTCACCATTTTTTTCTTTTACAGTTAAAAAAAATACAAATCTTTTTCATTTTGGAGTAAATGGGGAGCCGTCAGAAAGGGAGGAAATACAGTTTTTTCCCGGGCCTTCAGATCTCTAGGAATAGCTTCCATGGGACCTTGAACACACAGCTTTCTGAGCTGTGAATTCCCCCCCCCCCACCCCCCGAAGGCCCTCCGGGGGCCCTGGAGGCTCCGTGGAAACTGCCAGCTGCCAGGTCCAGTGAGTGAGAAGCGCGTCTCTCTAAGCCCGTACCCGCGGCCCTGCAGGTGCACGGCCTCCTGAGCTGCCCAGCGCTGAGGAGAAGCGCACGGATCATTGAACAGAGAGCCGTGGACACAGCCTTGTACATGCAAAGTGGAGACAGGTGAGGCCTCTCCAGCTGCCCAGTGAAGTCACGCGTGGTCAGCCTCCCGTGTGTGGGGAGGGGCTCGTCGGACAGCTCACACCTGCCTGCGGGCGCCCTGTGCCCTGGCGGAGACCACCCCCTTGTGCAGGCTCACCACGAGGCTTCCCCTCGGCCGAACTGGGGCTGGGCACCTCGCGCTTCTGTTCACTGTCACCCAGAATCGGGAGCCACCTCCTGACTGAGCTTCCTTATTCACTGACACTCCTTTTGCTGTAAGTTTCAAAGGACTTGAGGTGCAGGCGCCGAAGTAAGAGTAATTATTGCTACTTCATTCATCACCTCACAGTTCACAAATAACCTTCAGGTTCTCGCTGTGAGATGGGGCCCAAGTCCCGGCTTTATAGTTGAAGGAACTGGGCTCAGTGTGGGGCAGAGCCGGCCGTGGGCCCAGCCCTTCCACTCCCAGCCCGTGTTCTCCATGTCACTGATGCTTCGGGCTCTGTCGGGCGGCCTGCTTCCCGACAAGCAGAGTGGACAGCTTCTCTGTGGCCACATGGCAGCGAGCACGCTTTTGTGACTGGTGGAGCACGTTCCGCTTGCACGCAGCGTAGGTGACTTGGTAGAGGAGGCGATGGGAAATGGAGGAGCAGCCCTGGGAAGACGGTGGGAGGAAGCAAGCAGCTAACATTTCGAGAATTTGCACAGGAATGAGCCTCTGCCACTTCCTCCCACTCCGGTCTGTGTCCCCTTCCTCACTCACGGAGCCCCGGAACGCTCCGGCCGCACCTCGCAGCTTGCTGCCCCCCTGCTCGCCCTTCCGCATCTGTTCCTGAAGAGCCCTCCCTCCACCAATACACACGCATGTGCACACACTCACACACACATGTCATAAATATGTTAGGCTTTGTGGCTTACGCTTTATCTGCTGCAACTACTCACCTCTGCCCATGAAGTGTGAAGGCAGCCAAGGGCGACGTGCAAACAAGGGCACGATGAAGTTTTATCCACACAAACAGGAGGTGGGCTGGATTTGACCGACAGCCGCAGTTTGCTTTCTCCTGCTGTGAAGCATTTTAAGTCAGACCTGGTCCTTTCTCCTTTTAGTCCAGTTAGTCCAGTTTCATGAGTGATGTTTCCACACCCTCACAGTGCCATCCAATGTGGCCTGGCAGCCACACACTTTTTGGAAAGTGTATGGTGCATACCGGACTGGTTGCCTACTCATCTACTGCTTTAACGTTCCTTGATTTATAAAGGTGGCCATTTATCCCGTCACATGAATAAGAATTGGGCTAAGCCAATCATGGCAACCCCATTCCCTTTTGCCGGTGATTGGGTTCTGGGAATTCTGGGAGAGGTGCTTTTTCTCTTTGATAAAAGTGAGAGGCACCAAAACCAAGTCTCTTGGCCGCGTACTGGCCCGTTTTACTGCTTTGTGACCAGCCTGGGAATGACAGTGGTGGAGCCACAGCACCAGCCCCATGAGCACGAGAACACGACCACTGACCTGTTAAACCAGCTCTAAATGAGGAAGGTGCTGCGGGCTGGTCTCGGGAGGCTGCACGAGGGAGCTGGCTAGGATGCGGCTCCGTCGGATTGCTTTTCTCGGGCCTCTGGGAGGCCTGGCGGTCCTGCCACCCTGCCCTGGCCAGCTTTGCCCTTTATTCCTGAGGGCCTGGTGCTGTGACCTGTCCTGTCTGCCCTCTCCACCCTCCCATCCAGCTGTGTGCATGCCAGATCTGTGTTCTGGGCTTCAGTTGTTGGGAGTGTTTGTGCACAGAGAACCCTCAAACTCGCGGCCGCGCTGCTCTCTCCCCCCAGCCTGTCGCTGCCCCTCGTGCTTGACTTGTCTCTGCCTCAGTTCTGTCTGACTGGGGCCTGTGAGGTCTGCAGGGGCAGCGCCAGCCTGCGTTCCCCGTGCCGAGTGACTGCGGGGCCTCGTGTTGTTTCCTGGCCACAGGGAAAGTCTTCAGATGGCGGTAGGACCATTTCTCCACCTCCTGGAGCGCAACCTGCTGACGGCGGTGGACCCGGCCACGCCCCCCGGCAGCCACAGGTACGCACAGCAGCTCAGCTCGCAGCTGAGGGCCGTGGGGGCCTCTGCCCAGAGGGAGGGCGCCCGGGTCTCAGGGGGGCAAGAACCAGGCTGTCAGGGACTGACGGTGGATGTTCAAGAGGCCACAAGTCCCAACGACATTCACATCTTCACCTTTCTTTCTGCTACACCCATCTGTCATGTTTTGAAATTTTAATTTCAGCTAAAGAACCCTAAATTAATTTTTCTATTTTTTTACTAATTGAACATGTCAAACAGAGTAGCTAATTATGATATCACTGATTTGTATTATAATAGCCCAGAACAAAGATAACTGGTTAATAGATGGTTTAGTTTGCGTACCTTCACTGAGTATGGAAGGGTATGATGCCGCGCGGCAGTTTAAAATGGTGGCCGTGGCTCACGAGCCTCCACCACCACGTGAGCAGGTGGAAGCCCAGGAACGGGCCGCGCTGTGAAACGCTGAGCATCCTGTGCGCTCGCTGAGCCAGGTGTGGTCTGCGGGTGAACAGCTTTGCCATTGTCTGGGCTTGTTAGCTTCTCGGGCCCAGCCTCACCTACTGAATCAGAATCTGCATTTTAAAAGGATCCCAGGGTAAAGGCAGGGGACAGTGAGTTCAAGCAGGAACATCAGGAACTGGGGCCAAGACTTATAATAGCAAATTGTGGGCCTGCCCCTCCCCGTCCATCACAGCACCGTGATGGCCATTCGTTTCCTGCAGCCTTTGCTGCTTTGCCCGGCCTTGTGTCTGTAGACTGCTTCACCACCCAGTGCTAGTCCTCTGGTCTGGGGCTCAACAAATAAAGTCCTTGATCTTTCCCAAGAGATAGATTTAAGGGTCAGACAGATGTGGCTTGAAATAGCAACTTTATTACTAATCAGAGCCATTGGAGAATGTGTTGAGAGCCAAGCAGGTGCATTAATATTCCTTTGAAATGAACTTAATTCCCCCAAATTGCAAGCTTCCCCAACTAGGAGAAGCCTTGCTCTCCTAAGCTCACCACACAGCTGAGGAAGAGGGACGTTGGCATAGGCGGGCGGGCTCCCGGGAGAGGAGAGGAAGGGCCCCGGGCGCACATCACACAGCTGAGGAAGAGGGACGTTGGCGTAGGCAGGCTCCCGGGAGAGGAGAGGAAGGGCCCCGGGCGCACATGCTCAGTGTCGTCTTTGAAACTCACCAGGGAGGAGCGGGTGGGTGGGCGTGGAGCCCGTGGTGGGAGGAAGCCAAAGAGCCACCCAGCGGGGCCCCTGCTTCATGGAGGCAGCAGTGGGAACAAGGCCCCTCCCACCCTCCGCTTAGAGGGGCTCCGAGCCCGGCTCACTGATTCCCAGACGCCCCTGCTTTCGGAGGCCAGCGTTCCTGCCTGGAGAAGGCAGGCTGAGCCCTGGCCTCCGGTCCGAGAGGAGACGAGTGGAGAACTGTTTGCTCGTTGCAGAAAGCTGTACCTCTACGCGGCTCACGATGTGACCCTCCTGCCTCTCCTGCTGGCCCTGGGGATTTTTGACCACAAATGGCCACCGTTTGCTGCTGACGTGACCATGGAACTCTACCAGCACAGGGAATCCCAGGAGTGGTTTGTGCAGCTCTATTACCACGGGGAGGTAAGACCCCGAGGTGGGTGGGCACCTCCCCCCGCCCCAGCCGCCTGCTTCCAGCACCAGGTCTCCCTCCTCGGGCCCAGTGGAACCTCACTGGTACCTCGGCTCTCTGAGTCATGCCAGGCGACTTGTGGCTGTGGCCCCTGGACGGGCAGACTTGGCCTGTAGGGCAGGCTGGAGCGTGGCCTCATCCCAGTCCTGTTACCCTTCCGGGAACAGGCACCCTCCTCTTCCCAGCGTGCCTGCGGGATGTCAGATCCTCACTGAGAGCTTGTTTTGAAAGTTAGTGATGGTGTCTGGGAGGGGACGTGCTGTCAGCGCTCGCTCACTTGGGGCCTTGGCAGGTGGCTGTGGGGGCAGAGGCTGGAGCAGCCCAGGGACGAGACCGAGAGCCCCTCCCAGCCCCGGGCTGACTTGCCCGTGTCTTCCCAGTCAGTCCCACACAGTTGTCGAGTGACTCGGAGGCTGGCGGAGGAGCCGTCTGCCCGCTGCCACGTGCGTGCATGCAGAGCTCCGGGCGGCGGCCGCCTGGCCTTGCTGAGCGCCTCTCTCCCACAGGAGCAGGTGCCGCGAGGCTGCCCGGACCAGCTCTGTCCACTGGACAAGTTCTTGAACACCTTGTCAGTTTACACCTTAAGCCCAGAGAAATACCACACACTCTGCTCTCAAGCCCGGGTGACGGAACTTGGAAATGGAGAGTGACTGCTTATTCACGTGGATGTATTGATTTTAAATAAAATGCCCTACACAGTGCCTGTCTGTTGTGTTTGGGAAAGGCAGGAGCAAGACTGAATGTGCTTTGCCGTGGCTGGAGCAGTGGTTGGAGCATTTCCCCGCACCCTGAAGGGTTGTGGGTTTAATTCCCTGTCAAGCACATGTATCTCAATTTCGGGTTCGCTCCCCGCCCCCAGTTGGATGGTGTGCAGGAGGCAACCAATTGACATGACTCTCTCACATCGATGTTTCTCTCTTTCTCTCTCCCTCCCTCCCCGACACCCTCCTTCCCTTCCACTCCTCTGAAAAGCAATGGAAAAAAATATCCTCAGATGAAGATTAACAAAAAAAAACAGGAAAAAAGGAGTTCATGTGCTTTAACGTAGGGTCAGGGTGTTTCCTTCCTGTGGGTGATATCAAGGTCACTTCTTGAAAGGAGGAGCAGTGTGATGTCGAGACCAAGGGTCATTTCCTGTACTGTGGCTTGGGTCCCACGTCCACAGCATCTGCCTGTGACCTAGGCCGGGACTTCGTGACCCTGTGGAAGTTCGTGGCTTTGGACTTCAGTTCTTTTTTCTTATCTCCGTTTCACAAGTCGCCATTGAGCACCTCCTAAGATGTGGTCACTATAAAGGCGAGAAGTTTCCGTCCTCAGGTTGTCAGTCAGGGGGAGGGGCAGGTAAGTAAATCCGTGGTGGCAGCACAGTGTGCTTCAGTCTGTGGTGAGGTACATCAGGAGCTGTTTGGGTTCAAAGAAGAAACCCCCGGCCCAGTGGCAGAGACGGGTGAGGGGGCGTTCTTAGGTGAGCAAGGAGGAGAAGCTGTGTAGCAAAAGGTTAGCTGAAGGTCGGGCACTGTGGGGCAGGAAGATGGAGCCACGCTCTGGAGACCCCGCAGGGGATGCTGGGAGGCTTGGCTTCTGGGCCTGGAGCTCCTGAGTGAGGACCAGGGCTCCACAGTGGAGGCTGGATCCACTCAACATAGAGCTCCACCCTTAACTCAGCGCCCAAGGTACCTGTCAGTCCCCCACTCCCTTGTCCATTTTCTCATTCTTCCTCAGTTTCTGTTTCAAACAGCCAATCCCTTTACCGCTCAGAGAAAATAGCAATCGCAAAGCCTTTCCACTCCCACCCACCTCTATGTTGACACCCCCAGGTCTGCTTCTCAGCGCAGGTTTCTCTTCTGAGCTGCAGACACTCCTGTCCACGTGGATGTACCAAAGGCACAACATTTTCCAGACCAGGTGAAGACACAGGAGAAATGGCTGTCTGCAAGCCCAGAAAGGCTTAGAAGAAACCCAACCCTGCTGACACCAGGATCCTGGCCTCCTGGCCCCCAGAACTATACGGACATGCATTTCTGTTGTGTGAGCCACCTGGTCTGTAGTGTTTTGCTACGGCAGCCCTAGCAAACCCATGCACTTGTCCTCTTTCCCCCTGTGGTTTCACCAGTGCTTGACATTACACATGGGCGACTTATTTATCTCTAACTACACTGTGAGCTCCACCAAGACCGACTTCACCTTTCACCGATTTTCCCCACATCAAGAGTAGTTCTTGGCCCTGGCCAGTGTGGCTCAGTTGGCTGAGCATCGTCCCATGCACCTAAAGGTCACCGGTTCAACTCCCGGTCAGGGCACATGCCCCGGTTGTGGGTTCAGTGGAAGGCAACCAATCAATGTATCTCATGTCAATGTTTCTTTCTCCCTCTCCCTCTAAAATCAATAAAAACATTTTAAAAAGTCTCGTTCTTTAAGGAGTATCTAAAATTGCTAAGTTCGCCATCTAACTTAAAAAGGAAAAATAAAATAGTTTGTGGTGCATGCAAATGCTCAAGCATTTGTTGAATGAATGGACATACGCCCTCAGCACTACTCTCCCAGGTTAGATAGTGACTTCCTAACGGGTTACACCCTTCCTTGCCTTCTGTCACCCTCTGAGACCTGCTTCCTGCTTAGTTCTCCAGCCTCATCCCTCGCACCCTCACTCATCCCCTTTGGCCAGACTGAACTGTTTTAAGAAAAATCTGGCCTCTCACATGCCTTCGTCCCCAGACCCCTAACACCCTCCCTTTGCCCTCTAAGTCCTGCTCATCTTGATGCCTCCCTGTTTCTGTTTGTCCCTCAGGGGGGAGGTGTCCTATCCGTCTTGTCTGCTACTGTGTTTTAGAGCCAATACAGACTTGGCACACAGTGGACTCGACAAACATGTATGGGATGGATTCTGAACTTTTCTACAAGGTGGCTCTGTGCACGCTCTCCCACTCACCAGCAGGGGGCAGCGTGGAGTAAAAGAACCTGGCTCTGTGGGGTTCACATTCCGACACTAGACTTTCTCTGACCTGGACAGTGGTTCTGAGCCTGTTTCCCCTCGTGTAATGGAGGTCCTTCTGCCTGCTCATTGGGGTTGTTGTGAGGATTGAGTCAGTCTTAGGGCTTTCAGGTGTTCTTTTGCCCTTTTGCTGTTTTTGCCCACAGATGTGTAGCTGGGACAGGTCTCCCAGCTGGTGTGCAACCCGGGGAGGCGGCCTCCGTGGCAGCAGCACCCTCTCTGCGTGCCCTTCCTGAGGGGGTGGCCCTGTGTGGGAACCTGGCTCCGCCGCCCACCGGCTGTGTGACTGGGCGAGTCATGCACCCTCTCTGAGCTTCTGTTTCCCGACCATAAATAGGAGGCTGGTTTTTGCCTGCCTGACCTTCTGCCCTGAGGATGGACGTGGGAAGCAGTTCAGAGACTCCTAACGTGCCCTGGCCTTGACTCTCCCTCTCCATGCTTTCCATGAGTGCTGCTATGATTACGTTAATTTCCAGAGGGCGGCACCCTTGGTGGCAAAGTAAAGGCCTCCCCGGGGAGTCGAATGGCGTCCCTGGCATCGCTGGCTTGCTGGGTGGGTGACATCATCAGGACTCACCTGGCAGACCTTCCCGAGGACCTGCTCCCGAAGCTCTGCGCTCACGCCTGCCCTTCAACAGTTCCGTGTAGCAGGTCCCACTGTGACGGGCCCCCCTGGAGAGGGAGGGGGGTCCCATCCCGTCCTCAGGCACCAGGCCTGGCTTTCGCCCTATGTGTATCTGTGGTAAGGAACTCAGGTCTTTGCAAGTCGTACATGGCACCCCTATCCTCAGCTGGGATGCTCTGGGGCACCGCTCATCACCACTCATCGGAGAAACTGCTCTGCTTACTCTATGCCCGGGAAGTGTCCTTCTTCAGCTTCGGGCCAGCACTGCAGTCCACTGTGTCCCCGGGGGCTACAGGGAAGCCTGTGTCCCTTTGGCTGGCTGGGAGTTCTCTGAGGAGAGGGCTCTGTGCTCTGCCCAGGCCCTGCCCTCTAGTGGCCACGGGGACTGGCCGGGCAGTCTCAACCCTCCCGTCCACCCTGCCAGCCTCTGGGAACCTGCTTATGGGTGGGTGGAGGGAGCTGAAAACACCCATGAAAAGCTGGTCTTCCCAGGTCCCTGTTCTCCCTGCCTGGCTTTTGAAATGCACAGTTCCCTGAAGGTGGGGTGTGGGGGGCACAGCATGGCCCACAATCTTAATTTTTGAAGTAAAGATCCAAACTAATGCCTGAGAACTTGAGAGAGAACTGGTCTTGGAATCGTGAGCTGTCAGGTCAAGTCCTGCCCCTGTGTGACTTTGGGAAAGTGTGTTAATTCCTGCTAACAAGCCTGTTATCCTCTTGTAAAACGGGGTAACACAGTGCCTCCCAGAATCGCCCGGGTCGCCTAGGCGAGGTAGGTGCAGCACTGCGGAATGTGCAAAGCGCTGCGCACACAAGGCGTTGCTCACGCACTGTCAGGAAGGCCTCTGCGGCTCCTGTGGTCCCCGTCCTGGAGGGCGGCCGTCGGGGGTGAGGTCCTGGTATTGTTTCAGGGGTGCTTAACCCACCTGTGGGAAGAGCCAGGGGTTTGAATCCCAGCGTGACCACTGTCCTGGACCCTGCCACCTTGGCAGCTCACCCACCATGACAGGTCTGTCCATCTGTGCACTGAGGGGGGGAGGGGGCGCGTGCGGGGAGGGGTGCGCTCTGCAGGCCTGAGGGCCCGGAACGTGGTAGCTACTCAAATACAGACGCCGAATCTGCATCTTCATGTCTGTGGGGCTCAAACTCGGACTCAGTGCTCACTGTCTGCCCAGCAGTTCGAGTTGCTCCTTTTGGTGCAGATTTAATTTTTATTCATTTACTGACTTTACAGAGGGGTGGGAGAGAGAAGCATCGATTTTTGTTCCACTCATTCATGCATTCATTGGCTGATAGCTGAATGTGCCCTCACCGGGGATCGAACCCACAACCTCGGCGTATCGGGGCGATGCTCTAACCAACTGAGCCGCCCAGCCAGGGTGCAGGTTGTTAGAGAAGGTGAGTGTGCGCTTGGGAATCAAAGGCACAGCCGGCCAGGGAAGCCAGTGAAGGCGTGTGCGGGGGCAGCAGCCTGGTGGCGGCTGTTTATGTTGGTTGGAAAGCAGGACATTTTCTCGGAGGCCGGGATCCAGAGCGATGAAAGTCTCAGAGGTAAAGGCAGGGTCTGAGGAAATGGCCGCACTGGATCACTGCAAAGGAGCGTATTCATCAGAGTTAATTTGGAAGGAACTGGAGTGTGAAATAGCAGCAAACCCGCTCAGTGCTTCGTGCCAAGGCTCGCTGGGAGCCACCTCCTGAAATCGGCCGGGGCTTGCAGGCCACAGACCGCTGAGCGGGGGCACTGAGGAGGGGTAATTAAGGGGACGGGTGCGTAACACTTGGGTAAGTAGGACTTGATGGGGTCAAACCAGCAGGGCTTCTGGGAGGTGAGGGGCAGTCCCTGGCGCTGTTAGCAAGGAACGCCAGAGTGAGACCGCTTCCCTGGCCTTGCAGGGAGGAGGAGGGAGGGAGGGGCGGGGAAGGTGGGAAAGTGGTTACTTCCTAGACTGAATGTCCCTAGATCAGGGGTGGGCAACCCCTGGCACGTGTGCCAAAGATGGCACACCAGTAACTTTTGCTGGCACGCGAAACACTCTCTTATAATCTTCCATTTACAATTTTTGTCTTAATATCAACTTTTTTAT